CATTTCCAAGAGGGTCATTAGCATTTAAAGCCATTTGGTACCTGTAGTAATCACACACACGAATTAGTGACAAATAAGGAAAGAAGAACAACACACAAAACTAACTAAATAGATAGCCAAAACCGTTAGCTCCCCGGCAACGGCGCCAAAAAGTGATCGCTGCCAACTCCGCACCACTAAAAAGTAGCGAGAGAGGATCTCAATAGCTTTTACCCGATTTGTGGGTCGGGATCGAATCCACAGAGAGCTAGGATTGGAATCGAGTATCTATTTAGCTTAGGATCGCGTATATGTTCTTAATTACACTTCACATAATTTTTGAGGTTTTCTTTATATTGTACTATTATCAAGCTACAAATTATAATTGCAACTAAATTAGACTAAGAATAAATTGCTACAAGTTGTATCTAATGGTTTAAAAAGGCACTAGGGTAGTGACCTTCACCTAGGTGGCTAACTAACGGGTAATTACATCTAAGGCACGATTGACATGATTGGGGAAATATGTTATAACCGTTGCTCGATACTACCCACTCTACACCTCTCGGTAGAAAGAGTGATTTTGCCCAATTGACTCTCTCGAGACCAATTAGGTATGCTTATTTGCCTAAGCAACTAGGGTTCAAGTCGGGTAATTACTCTCTCTCGAGGTTTAACCCTTTAATTGGGAGTATCAAATCTCTTGAGTCCATCCCAATTCCTTGTTGAGTCAATTTTGGAGACTTAGTCTCTCTTTCTCAAGAAGAGCCTAGGTCAACTTAGCACAAACTAGTGTTTGCAACCACTAATTCATAAATTAAACCATAAAATTGACCCAAATAACAAACACCCATAATCAATCTAACATTAAATCACAACACCCATCAATTACCCACACTAGGGTTGAGCCACAACCCTAGCTAATGGGTTTAGATACTCATGATTGAAGATAAAATCAGAGAAATAGATGAAGAGAAAGACATGTTAATTAATTACTAAAGTAAATACAAAGTTTCAATGATGAAAACTACGTAAAGATGCCAAAAATGGCTAAGAAATATCATCGCACGAGCTCAGCTACAGTATTCTAATATCTAATACCCTAAAAATGGAAAAATGTTCTATTTATACTAAGCTGGAAAAACTGGACAAAATTACCCCTGCAGGGTCAGTGCGGACCGCACAAAATGGTGTGCGGCCGCACTAGGCTCTTGACTCTGAAAAATCAACTCTCTGAACCCTGGCTCCGCGGACCGCACAGAATGGACTGCGGCCATGGAGGAATCTAGCGCGGTCCGCACAAACACGACCACGGACTGCACAGGCTTGAACCTTGGCACTTGACATCTCTCTAAAGTTTGCTTCCGCGGACCGCATAAAATGGTAGTGCGGCCGTGGTGTCTTCAGTGCAGGCCGCACAATATCTACTGCGGCAGCACTGCTTTGATGCCTTAAAATCCAGGTCTCTGAATTTCCCTAGTGCGGACCGTACAAAGTGTAGTGCGGTCGCACTAGGCCTGTTTGTCCTGAGTTGTCTTGTCTTTGGTACTTGTGCAGGTTTCACTTCTTTTGAGCCGATCTTTGATATCTCGTCACTTTGTTGATCCAACCTGCAATCAAGCACAACTTATGAGCCTTTTGGGACTATTTTGTAAGAATTTATAATCAAAGCGTAAGCAAGAAGGAGCATGAAACACGTCAAAATACCTAGTTATCAGTCTCCAACTAGCCAAAGGCTTGGGAGTAGAGGTGATCGAATCCAAATGCGACTCCCTCCTCGTTGTGAATCAGGTTAACGGAACCTTTGAAGTTCGAGAGGAAAGAATGCAAAGATACTTGGATAAGCTATAAGTAACTCTACACCGATTCAATGAATGGAATTTGCAACATGTGCCTCGAGATCAAAACAACGAAGCTGATGCCCTCCGAAATCTAGGCTCGTCGGTCGAAGACAACGAACCCAATTCGGGGGCTATCGTACAACTCATGAGGTCAGTGGTCGAAGAAGGCCACGCCGAGATAAACTCCACAAGCTTGACCTGGGATTGGAGAAACAAATACATAGAGTATTTGAAGAACGGAAAACTTCCTTCAGATCCAAAGGAATCGAAGGCCCCGCACACGAAGGCAGCCCGATTTAGCTTGTCCAAAGACGGAACCTCACTCAGAAGGATGTTCGACGGCCCGCTAGCGATATGTCTCGGACCGGTAGATACTGAGTATGTTTTGAGGGAAGTCCACGAAGGCACATGTGGGAACCACTCAGGCGCTGAATCACTGGTTCGAAAGGTAATCAGAGCCGGCTATTACTGGATTGATATGGAAAAAGATGCGAAGGAGTTTGTGCAAAAATGTGATAAATGTCAGAGACATGCTCCGATGATTCATCAACCCCGGGAGCTACTGCATTCGGTTTTATCCCCATGGCTATTCATAAAGTGGGGGATGGACATCGTCGACCCTCTTCCATCGTCACTAGGTAAGGCTCAATTATTTTATTTATGACTAACTATTTCTCTAAGTGGGTTGAAGCACAGTCCTATCAGAAGGTTAGGGAGAAAGAAGTAATCGAATTCATTTGGGACCACATCGTATGTCGAATTGGAATACCATCCGAAATTGCACGTGACAACGGAAAGCAGTTTATCGGCAACAAGGTGACCAAATTTCTCGAAGGCCTCAAGATCAAAAGGATTTTATGAACACCTTATCACCCTAGTGGGAATGGGTAAGCCGAATCGACCAACAAAACCATAATACAAAACCTCAAGAAAAGGTTGACCTATGCCAAAGGAAAATGGAGAGAAGTCCTGCCCGAAGTCCTTTGGGTGTATCGCACAACTTCGAAGTCCGGTACCGGGGCAACCCCGTTTTCTTTGGTTTATGGCACTTAAGCTTTAATACCCGCCAAAGTTGGGGAGCCAAGCGTCAGATTCTGATATGCGACGAAGGAATCAAATGACGAGGCCATGAATATGAGCCTGGAGCTATTAGATAAACGACGTGAAGCTGCCTTTGTTCGATTGGCTTCCCAGAAATAACGAATCGAAAGGTATTACAATCGAAGGGACAACCATCAATATTTTAATATCGGGGACTTGGTAACGAGGAAGGTCACGTTAAACACTCGAAATCTGAATGAGGGAAAATTGGGTCCAAACTGGGAAGGGGCATACCAGATTCTCAAAATCACAGGAAAATGATCCTATAAGCTCGGATCGATGGACGGAGTTCAGCTACCGATAATTGGAACGTAACTCATCTCAAGCAATATTACTGCTGAGGTACGACCCCATTTTAATTCTTTCTATTTTTTGACTAACACTTGCAGGTTATCGACGAGGATCGGTACGAAGCCTTTAGGTTTGAAAGCACGCGTTGTACTCTTTTTTCCTTGAACTGTTTTTGTCCCAAATGGGTTTTTTGGCATGGTTTTTAATGAGGCAATAGTGGATCATGCCACCTTAGAATTAAAGGCCGATCACGAATCGATATCAAAGACTGTGTTTATAGTATCCGAGATTTTTCTACAATGAACCTCAAATACTTGGGGGGGGG